GCTCAAGGTCTTCTCTGGGGACGCCTCGGTCGCCGGGGGGACTTGTAGGACAGTGTGGAGACCCCGTAAAACGTCACCAGGGGACACCATGAGGAACCCAAGGTCACCACGAGGAACTCAAGGTCTTCTTTGGGGACGCCTCGGTCGCTGGGGGGACTTGTAGGACTGTGGAGACCCCATAAAACATCTCCAGGGGACCCCAAGGACACCATGAGTAGCTCAAGGTCACCACCACGAGCCCAAGGTCACCATGAGGAGCTCAAGGTCTTCACTGGGGACGCCTCGGTCACCGGGGGGACTTGTAGGACAGTGTGGAGACCCCATAAAACGTCACCAGGGGACCCCAAGGCCACCATGAGGAGCTCAAGGTCACCATGAGGAGCTCAAGATCACCATGAGGAGCTCCAGGTCTTCTCTGGGGACGCCTCAGTTGGTGGGGGGTCTTGTAGGACAGTGTGGAGACCCCATAAAACATCTCCAGGGGACATCATGAGGAGCCCAAGGTCACCACGAGGAACTCAAGGTCTTCTCTGGGGACGCCTCAGTCGCTGGGGGGATTTGTAGGACAATGTGGAGACCCCGTAAAACGTCACCAGGGGACCCCAAGGACACCACGAGGAGCTCAAGGTCACCACGAGGAACTCAAGGTCTTCTTTGGGGACGCCTCGGTCGCCGGGGGGACTTGTAGGACAATGTGGAGACCCCGTAAAACGTCACCAGGGGACATCATGAAGAGCCCAAGGTCACCACGAGGAACTCAAGGTCTTCTCTGGGGACGCCTCAGTTGGTGGGGGGACTTGTAGGACTGTGGAGACCCCATAAAACATCTCCAGGGGACCCCAAGGACACCATGAGTAGCCCAAGGTCACCATGAGGAGCTCCAGGTCTTCTCTGGGGACGCCTCAGTCGCTGGGGGGTCTTGTAGGACAATGTGGAGACCCCGTAAAACGTCACCAGGGGACCCCAAGGACAGCATGAGGAGCTCAAGGTCACCGTGAGGAGCTCAAGGTCACCCTGAGAAGCTCAAGGTCACCACCACGAGCCCAAGGTCACCATGAGGAGCTCAAGATCACCACGAGGAACTCAAGGTCTTCTCTGGGGACGCCTCGGTCGCTGGGGGGACTTGTAGGACTGTGGAGACCCCATAAAACATCTCCAGGGGACCCCAAGGACCCCATAAGAAGCCCAAGGCCACCGTGAGGAACTCAAGATCTTCTTTGGGGACCCCTCGGTCACTGGGGGGACTTGTAGGACTGTGGAGACCCCATAAAACATCTCCAGGGGACCCCAAGGACCCCATAAGAAGCCCAAGGCCACCGTGAGGAACTCAAGATCTTCTTTGGGGACCCCTCGGTCACTGGGGGGACTTGTAGGAGAACATGGAGACCCCCTAAAACATCTCCAGGGGACCCCAAGGACCCCATAAGAAGCCCAAGGCCACCGTGAGGAACTCAAGATCTTCTTTGGGGACCCCTCGGTCACTGGGGGGACTTGTAGGAGAACATGGAGACCC